AGCTTCGGCTGGATGACAGGGACGATGGTCTTGTACGCTGGTTCCTTGCCCTTGTCGTTCGAGGGCTTCGGCGGAGTTGCGAAGTTTCGAACGTTCGGTGGGGCGTAGGTTGTGTCGCGAGCGTTTGCGAAGGGGTGTACTGGTGGTGCTGGGGGAGCGGACGTAGTAATAGGTTGAGACGTGGATTGCGTAGGCTGCGAAGAAGACGGCGCGGGTGATGCTGCTGGTATCGTCGGAGGCGGGGCCGTGCTTGTCGAAGTGCTCGAGGGTGCCGCCACTCCTTTCGATGTACCAGATCCCGAGGCTTCCGCGCTTCTCGTGACGACTGGCGTCGTAGGCTTCTTCCGCTGTAGAATCTCGACGCCGTCGAAGACCTCCCTTCGCTTCCGAAGCTGAAGGAGTTCTCGCTCGAGCGCCTCGATCCTGCCGCTAGTGTTGAGCGTGAACGTTTGCACAGTCGAGCGATCGTCGATCTCGAAGAGCATCATCGGAGCAGCTGGTGCTGCGGGATTTCTTCTATGCCACTCGTAGATTCGATCTCGTATTGTGAGACCAGGGATAGTGCGGGGACAGAAACTTCCGTTTGGAAGAACGATCTTGCCTTCGGTGTTCCGTTTGCACTTGCCGTCCCGAATGTCGATTTCCGCAAACTCGCAGGTGCCTACCCTGCAGCCACGATTGCCGCAGTAGTGGCACGTCTGTTCAGCTCCGGTGTTCTCGTGGATGTGGACGGTAGCTTGTTGTCTCGGTGCGGGGGCGTGGTTGTGCGTAGCGTGCGTCGTCGGCTGAATGAGTGTTGCGATCGTCCTCGACAGGCTTTCGATGATCATCGAGATGTCTTCGGTCTTGATCATCCCGGGGGGCACCGTTGTCGAAGTGTTCGACGTCGAAGCGGTAGCTTGGTTAGCCGCTGTCGTAGGTGTGCTCGATGTACCGTGTAAGATGAACGTAGCCGCCGCGTGAATCTCTGCCATGGTGTATGGGTCGTCGGCGTAGTGATCGGGGTGCTTGAGATGTAGTCGGGTCTCGAGCCGTGTGAGCAACGCTGGCTGGAATCCTCGAAGAAATGCGCGACTTTGTTCGATAGGGGAGAGTCGGTTCTGTGCGATGAGATGTTTCGTAATGGCCATGAAGTCACGGTAATAGCAGCCCAGATCTGCCGCATTGTGAATCCCGATACGAGCGTGTTCTCCGATGAGCTGATCCATGTCTGCCAGCGACCACTTTCTTGTATCGTCGGCGCCAGGATAGAGTGCTCGTACGTCGGCTTTCCAGTCGTTGTAGCTCTTGGCTACGTTGATGAAGGACTCGATGGTTTCCCATAAGTCAGCGACGTCGATCGAAGGGTACCGAACGGCCCACTGTTTCTTGGCTGCTTCGTCGGTAATCTGACACCGGGTGAACAATGCTTCGAGGTCCTGGAAGTAACGCCGAAGCGAACGGACTTCCGATGGGTCGAAGCTTGGTGCCGTCGAATGACCGCGCGGGGGCATCAATGGTGTATTCGTGGTCTGACTCATGTTCGTAGTGGTAGTAGGAGCTGGGCTCGAAGAGGACGTGGTAGTAGTCGAAGGAATCGTAGGTGCGGGCGGTGCGAGGTTGGAGTTCGAAGCTGCGTTCGAAGGTGCCAAGGGTGGCGGAGGTGCCAGTTCGGATGTAGGTATGACTGAGAGTCACGAAGAGGATGCGATGGGCGGCTGTGCGTGGGCGCGAACAGAAGACGGAGTCGGAAGTACGAGATTCGAAGTAGATGGGAAAGGATCCTCGGGTTCGGGCGAAGAACCGGATCGTTCGAAAAGATCAGGAGTCGAAGTGTCGTAGTCGGAAGTAGTGAGGCCTAGAAGCTCGGGGGACGAAGTGCGTTCTTCGGCGGTCGAAGGGATCGGTTCTTCGTCGAAGTCGTCCTGGAGTTCTTGGTCTATCTCGTCTTCTTCGTCACGGTCGAAGTTACCGGGAATGGTTGGAGAGGGAGTCGATTGCATTCTAGAGGAGCTGTCGAGGTTCTCGGCGGCGCTGCGGCTAGCAGCCTCACGCGCTTGCGAGCGGGTGACTACTGGAGACGTTTTCGGAAACCCGAAAGCGGCGAATTCTTGCCTGAAATCCCCTCGCGGTGGGCTCCAGAAATGATACGACCTACGAAACCCTAACCCCTAACCTGGGTGCGACCTAAAGGGACTAGAGAGACGGATTATAGTCTTAGTGAGAGGGGAGTTAGCAGCAAGGTGTCCCGCGGTTCGAGTGAACACGAGAAACACCTTCGGAAAAGGCTACGAACAATGGGGAAGCTACGAGGTGGCTTCGACACGTCGTCGAAGCTACTCGGAGGCTGTGGGTGGTTAGCGGAGACGATCGAAGCTCGGCAGAGCTCTTCGATGTATCGTAGAAGGAAGGGACATGACTCGATAGGGGGGGACTTAGCTAGGACGCGGTTCGCAGTTTCTTCGACAATAGTCGAAGTCGAAGGGTTCGTCGAGACGGTATCGACGAGTAAACGCAGTGGACGAGGTTTCGAGGTTACGCAGCGAGGGACGAAGTGACGCAGTTAGAGGCTTTAGACGCAGGGCGAACTCGACTTATGAGCTCTGAACTCGAGGGGGGAACCGGATCTTGTATTTTTAGAGAGAAGTACGACAGA